AAGGAGGTCATGGAATACCACAGCCTCCTTCACCAGCATAATTTACTATTAGAGGTCAAATGCTTTCTTGCAAGATAGTTGAGACTATCCCTACTTTTTAACTTTCAATATGGTCATTACAAAGAAGCCCAATAAGGAAAGAGGAATTGCCTGAGGGGGTGCTTAGGGAAGAAATCCCAGCTCTTTCTAAACCAAAAAGTGTCTAAAAGACTGAAGAATGAAATTTGTTACAGGGGTAATATAGTGACAGCCTATTATCATGTTTGGCTTAAAAACTTCAAATCATCTACATACCGGAGGAGGCAAAGACTTGAACCTAATGTAGAATGCTGCTAAAACTAGTAGGAAGTCTCTTCCTAAAATAAGTGCTGTCAAAGGAACTGAAAAACAAAATATTATGATTCATTTTGAAAATTATTAGCAATTTACAAAGAAGGCAAAAAGACTGCCACACTGGCTGCCTTAATTTTTTTATTAACTCACAACACATTTAATGAAACATACTTGGCAGAAGTTCAGCTACTGTTAGAGAAATGACTAAGGCACTCATTAATATTTTATCTGCTATGGGATCCAATATTGTACCAAAAACTGACTTCTGGTTCTTGAAGTTTCTTGCGATGTAACCATCAAGCTTGAACATTAAAATATGATRWAWAAAGGATGTCAATGATTGGCAAAGCAAGCAGAAGAATACAAGTATTTTTGATTCTGTTACTTATGCTTGTTAGAGTGATGGTGATGACAAATGCATTGGATATCCTAGTTGCCCACTTTGTATGTCAACATGTTTTAGATGAAAAGCAGCAATCAAGCAAGCAATGTTAACATTGGCCCTGCTAGAACARAATGGGTTTCCCAACTTAGCACATGCTGATCATACCCAATTCAAGGTCACACAATAAATTACACCATGTCTGAATAATGAATGAATTGGCCACAGGGGCATGCCCAAGGAGGGGAATTCTAGCTCTGGATTTACCCCCCMAAAAAAACTGTTTGGGACTATCTGCAAATTTTGTGTTTCCCTGACTTATTTGGTAGATAAACTTTCAAGTTTCAAAGACTTTTTCAAACAGGGAGTTTCAGAACCCTTGAAACCCTGTCCTACAGCATGCTGCTGAGATATGACTTTTTTCGTGGAAAAATTAAATTCACAACAACACTGAATTCTGTKTACCATATCAGTAATTCCAGCTACTCCAAACAAAGTCAGAGCTATAACAAACTGCTCTGAAATAATGAAATAACCAAGGAATGGAGCAGCAACTATTCTGAATGATGACAGTAAATTGGGAATAGTTAAAATGCTCTCCCTCTAAAAAGAAAAAAAAACATAAGATAAAATATGAAAAATGCATTGCAGATTTTAAATGATTATGGCCAAATGTCAGATCACATATAATATATGTATTTATGAATGCAAAATAAACTTGTGCTGTGCATGATACATTATAGATGATGGTATAATGATTATACATGATACATTGGCTACCATATTGAATGAAGCTGACATATTTTCTGTCTTCTTTCACCCAACATGGCAGATATTCAATAGAGGCCATTATAGGATTAACTGTTGAAGAGGAGCAGGACATTGGAGGAAAGGCACATGCATTTTTACCAAAACTGCCATTCAAGTGACATGAAAGACAGGTCATCTGAGGTAGGGTGGTCTGCACATTTTCTGCACACATGCACCACCCTGGATCTGCCCCTGTTTTTTATTTATCAGGGGGATTCTTGGTTGTGTGCAAATAACTTCATGATACCACACATTTCAAGCTTAAGTATAGATTATATGAGCTTAGAAATGTTGTCTGCTTACGTGAACCATTTCTTTTACTTTTTCTATTCTGTCTTTTAGTTTACTTTTCCCAGGGGACATCTTTGATGTTTTTCCACTCAAGTATAACATAGTTGTTGATATCCATCTTCTATGTAAAGTTCTGATTGGTCTGACTTGTTCTATTAAGTTTGTGTTTTGATATCTCTCAAATTGGGGAAATCTGTTGCTTGATCTTGCAAAATTTGTCTTTGTAAAACACACATTTGGACGATTTGTGACGAGATTATCCTTCAAAAAATCAGTATTGCTTGTGCACCCACTACAATATGATGATATTCCCACAGATACACATCTTTCTTTCTTGAATAATTCTATCATTCGAATGTTTTTCCAGCACCACGTTGTAAAAGCACTTCTTGCAGCCGCCATGTTGAATTTAACCACAGGAAACCCACAATCAAAATTATCATGAAATTTCTGCAAGAAATTCTTATAGCTATGAAATAACTTGGGCAATCTATTCTAACAAATGAAAATGCTCAAAAGTTTATCAAAAGGCCAGACCTATTGCTTATTGATAATATTATTTGGAAAAGAATGCCACACTTATTAAGTGGGCTTCCTGTGTTTACACACATCCAAGATGGCGGGCAAAATGATTCGTGAATTATTTTCCAAACCTCTTCTTAAAAATGCTGTTAAAAGAGTTTTTCCAGACCCAATGGACCATTATCGATTAGAATTAATGCTCTGGGATTTCAAAAACTCTGAAACCGCAAAAAACTGGGTAACAATTACAGATAAACAGTTTGGAGGGCTGTCGACTGCAGAACTGACAAGAAGCAAATCTGGCAAAGCTTTATTTCGGGGTGAATTATCGACTAATTTACCTCCAGGAAGTGAAGCGAAGCACAGTGGAATATGTGCAATTCGTTCGCAGCCTCAAGTGGTGAGTATTACGGACGAATACAGCTTTGTTTATTTTTAAACTTCCCCCTCTCCCTCCCCCTCCCCGGGCTAGAAACCCCTGCCCTTCCAATCTCTATATAAAGACTGACTCTATGCAGCACGTCGGTCACTGGAGCTAAACGCAATGGTAAAAACAGATTATGAAGATGCAAGTATGAAACCATCTTGCTTTACAAAGATTGAAAGACGTCACAAACTCACGTWATATTTATATTGATGTATACTGAATTTATTTATTCAGTCATTTRTTTTTTCATTTATTAATTCAATGTTAATTAATTCAATATTCCCATCCGTGCATTCACTTGTTTATTTGCTCGATCATTT